CACCATACTGGGAAGAACTCAGTGATGTTATTTAATCCTTTTCCCCAACCCCATAAAAATCTGGAACTGAATTCTGAACTATAAAGTCTGGATTCTCTGATAATTCCATCTAATTTGATCACAGGAAACCCCAGAGCTTAGAATTCTACTTCCTAAAGGTCAAGAAAGATTCATCAATGTCACAGAGTTAGACAGAAACTTAGATATCTAGTCCTACTCTCTTGTTTGGAGCTGAGAAACTTAGCTCCGGAGGTAAGTGTCCCATGTTAGGTCACATAGGTAAGTACATGGTAGGGCAAGGACCAGCAGTTTTCCCCAGTCCAGAGGCCTTTTGTTTTTGGTACGTGCCCCTAGTGGGAACCGAACCCGGGATTCTCTGGTCCGCAGGCCGACGCTCCAACCACTGAGCCAAAGCGGCCAGGACCCAGTGGCCTTTTTAGACACCAGTTGAATCTGTCACAATTAGGCCTTTGCCCCTCACTACCTGCAGTGCAAGGGCCTGACAATTAGCTTTTTTGATTTGTAATGTACATGCTTGACAATAACTTTGGCTTCCAAGGCACTAACTTCAAAGACATCCATCTCAAATAAACGTATTGCCAACTATATAACTAAATAAGGTGCCAGATGCCCACCTGTGAAGTTCCCCTTTTACTTATTTACTTATTTATACTCATCTGAGAAAATGTTGTTGTTTTTTCATTGATTTCAGAGACAGAGGAAAGTGGGGAGGGGGGGAGAAACAATGATATGAGAGAGAAGCATCAATGGGTTGCCTCCAGTACATGCCCTGATCGGGGATGGAAGCTACAACCTTGATGTATGGGATGATGCTCTAACTAACAACTGAGCCACCGAACCAAGGCTGAAGTTCCCCATTTAGGAAGCCCTGGATTACCTAGATAACTGGCCACTTGAGTCACCTTACTTTTTTCTTCCCTCACTTTAACTCCTGCTCTTATGTTTTAAATTCACCAATAAATAGTGAACCCATGAAACCCTAGGCACCCCACCCTTTACCTTGCTGTTTGTCCCCTCCAGGACCTGTGAGTAATAAAGGTGTGCTTTTTCTCCCCCCCTCCCCAAGTTCCCTGAGGGTTGTTGCTGTACTGCATCTTGCCATCGTAATAAGGACAAGGCCTGATCAGCCATAACATTGGCTCTGCTTGGGAAAATATCTGTGGGGGTTGCCACAGTAGTATGGCCCCAGGTAAATGCCTCGGGTGTTCCTAGCTGATAGCATCACTATCATAGGCTGAGACCAACGCAAAACATCTCTGTAACCTTGATTCTTGAGCTCATAATAACGTACCAAATTAAGAGGAAGTCTAGCATTGGAGCTTTGCACCGACTCTGAGGGAACTGAAGAGAAGTAGTTAGCATTTTAACTGCTTCATTTCGTCATGAAGTTAAGTTGGTACTCACCAACTACACTCCACTATCTGCACGCCCCCAACCATTAAGTATAGAGCAGCCAAGGAGGAGAAAGGAGAAAAAGCAATCGGCAAGGAAAGGAGAATTCGTGGTGGCAGAGCAATGGACAGTTTTTCTTTCTCTTTCTTTCTTTCTTTCTTTCTTTCTTTCTTTCTTTCTTTCTTTCTTTCTTTCTTTCTTTCTTTTTCTTTCTTTCTTTCTTCTTTCTTTCTTTCTTTCTTTCTTTCTTTCTTTCTTTCTTTCTTTCTTTCTTTCTTTCTTTCTTTCCTCACCCGAGGACATTATTTTCCATTTATTTTTAGATAGAGTAAAAGGGAAGGGCGGGGGGCATCGATGTGAGAGAGACACATAAATTTGTTGCCTCCTGCACAACCCAACCAGGGCCAAAGACGAACCGCATCTGAGGTATGTGCCCTTGGCCGGAATTGAACCTGCGACTCTTTTCCATGGGTGGACGCTCTAACCACTGACCCAAACCGGCCAGGACAGACAAAGTTTCTTTCAAGAGCTTCTCTTTATCTGTAATCTCCATACATTACTGAGTCCTAGGAAAATCAGTCAGGGCCTGCAGAGGTCACCATCCACCCTCATCTTGAACTGTTTTTATCCTCAGTGCTATAGAAGTTGAGAAGGTGTGAGTTTCATTATTAACTAAACTCCAGAAAACGAGACTATGTGGTTGCCACAGACTCCACAGCATCTGAACTGCTTCCCTCTATAGCAGAGAAAGATCTCTCTGCTGAATTAATATTCACTGCAGAGCCCTGGGGTTTCTCTGGTGAAAACAATTCTTGGAAATTCGTGGAAGGGACTTGTGACAACCAGTAATTTTGGCAAGGCCATGTCTTTTGAGAATCTTCCAGATTTCCCTAACTCAACTGGGCACTTTTCTTTTCAAATAGCATAATTCTTTCCTTGGTCGATGTGGCTTGGTTGGTTGAGTGTTATCCCACACACCAAAAGGTCACAGGTCACAGGTTCATTCCTGGTCAACATCAGGGCACACGCCTGGATTGCGGGCTCAGTCACTAGTAGGGGGCAGTTGATCGATGTTTCTCTCTCACATGAATGTTTCTCTTTCCCTCTCGGTTCCTCTGTCTCTAAAAACATTTTAAAACAATAAATACTGTAATTCCATAATCTTTCTCAAAAACTATATATTTTTTGTTCCTTACCATTTTTGTTGCTATTGTTTTAAAGGAAATGCTTTTACAGAAAACCAGTACCTAGATTTCAAACTATCTGATGTACACCCTCAGGAGACAGAGATTCAGGTAACCTAAGTCTCCAATTCTCTCACCTGCTGAAATATATTTTGCATTTTACCAGGTTACAGAATTTGAGGACTTTTACCAAAAGCATCTTCTTCTGAAGGTATTTCAGGGTTTTTGCTGAGCTATGGCTAATTCTGCATTGCTCCAAACCATGATCCCTGACTCTTTGGCCCATTCTTTAGAGAAAGGAGAGTTCAGATGCATTGCTCATTATTCATCTCAGTGCCAGCGAAGCCAGAGAATTACTGAAAAAGAAATCTACGGTTATGAAAAAGGGCTGTCTTTCTTTGGTTTTAGGAGCTACAACCTTATTGATATTATTCTAGGAGTAAATTTTTTATTTGTATCTAATTCATTTCCTCAGGAGACAAAACTCCTTTATTATCATATTTCCTAAAACTGAGACTATTTGGTTCTCTTACTTAAAAATTGGCCCTACATCATTTCAAAAGCAATGGTTAAAAATTCATTTTTATTGGCAATTTCAGCTGTGCTTCACTTTGGCATAAATTTAAGAGCAATAGCCTGGCTGGTGTGGCTCAGTGGACTGAGCATCATCCCCTGGACTGAGAGGTCCCGGTTCGATTCCTGGTCAGTGCACATGCCGGGGTTTAGGGCTCCATCCCCAGCAGGGGGCGTGCAGGAGGCAGCCAATGGTGCATCTCTCTCACATGGATGTTTCTATCTCTCTCTAAAAAAATCAATAAAAACATATTTTAAAAATAATTTAAGAGCAATACACATCAACCTGGCTCTCCCCTCTGAACTTCTCTAGCAGCTAGTACAGACTATTCTAGAAGGAGGGAGGAGAAAAGCGCTCCACCATGAGAGAGGGGTGTGGTGGAAGCATAATTTACACAATAAGAGAACTGTATTAAGTCACTTGAACTTTCTGGACCTCAGTTGCTTGTATAACAGGTAAGAATGGTCTTCATGGAGAATGAAAGGCAAAACAAGGGATTTCTGAAGCTCATTGAATCACAATTTCCACTTTTACTATAATTATAACAAAGTTCAGATGATGTGAAGACCAATTTGTGCAAATAGGCACAGGTAAGTTAATAGCTAACATTCACATGTGGCTTGAATGAAGTTATTGATTGATATCTGTGCTCATTAGAGTTACTAACCAACGCAAAGATTATTTGAAAAAATAGTTATTATTAATAACAGTGGCAAAAAATAAGCCTCCCATTTATTGAAAAAGGCTAGTACTGTCAGTGTGCCAATGCCCGGGAATCTGACTGGCTGCCCCAGGGCAAGCTCATAGATATTAGTGTGTAATAATAGTGCTCGATAGTTGTTTGCTGAAAAAAGAAAAGAAGGAAGGAAGGGAAAGAAGGAGGGAGGAAGGGAGGGCATTTAGCTTATATGCCATATGTAAAGAATAAATGTTCTTTATCAAAGACAAGGATTATTTTTTGTACTCCAGCTACAATTTTATCCACCGTGATGTAGTAACATTTGCCTTTGAAAACACAAAAGAACTCCTGAATATAATCTCCTTCTTTGTCATTTTATTTCACAAGGCCCAGTACAGTAACAGCCCCATTAGCAAGTAAGTAATGGAAAGTTATAATGAACAAAACAAGTTGAGGAACCAAACAGACCCAGAGACATGGAAGTGGGGTACAGACTGACAAGCCTCAGAAGAGGTGGATGTGGGGGGAGGGAAGAGATAAACCACAGAACTTTTACGTATATATGTGTAAACAAGGACATAGACAACAATGCTGGGAGGGGTGGCGGGATTGGGAGGAGGGTGTCAATGGGGGGAAAAAAGAGAAACATCTGTAACAAAAATAAATAAATAAAAAAGAAAGAAAGAAAGAAAATTAACTGAATGAGATGGGATCAATGTGTTCCATGCCAGGAAGTTCATGGTACCTGCTAGAACTCCCTAGGTATCACCTCTAGCAGCAGTGTCGGACTCTGCTGGTGATGTAGGGATTCCTTTTCCCTGACCTGTCTCTGAAAGGACACTAAAGATAACAGCAACAGAGCAGGAAGTGGCTATGATATAAAGGCTGGTTTAGATACTTGCCCTGGTTTGGTAGCCAACATCACCGGACACCTGTGGTATCAAGCTTCATGAAAGAAAGTAACAACATAAAAAAAGCAGAGCCATGTAATCATTTCTAGACTGATATTTCAAAAGAAGTTAAGAAACTGTTCTGTCTATTCCAACTGTTCAGATGTTTTCTGAAAATATGTGCTGTGATCTTTAATTTTCTTTATCATAGTTTTCACTTGCCAATTAATACTAAAAAAAATGTAAAAGAGAGACATAAATACTTATTCTATAGACATTTGTATTCCAAGTCATATTCATCATGTAAGAAAAGTGAAATATCCATTTTCAATACCATTAGTTCGCACTAGATCTCCTCCAGTTAGAGAAACAAGCAAATCTTTTCAATGTCTTAATGATTGAAGGCTCCAATAACAACTCACGAGTAGACAAAGGTTTGCTATTATTTAATCTCGGAAGAACACTGAAAGAAAAAGGAGGGGAACACAGTGGGCAGTGTGGAATGTAGGCAGAACTCCTTTACGTAGCTGGCCTCGTGTGGCTTTAACAGCTGAAGGGGAAACTGGCTGGAGCTAAGGTTACATATTTCTGTTCAGTAAGGGTATCCATGGTGGTAACTCTCATGATGACGGTAGTCATCCTGGTAACCATCCTGGTATCCTTGGTGGTAACTATGGTAACCGTAGCCTGCATACTCATCTTCTGGGCAGCGCATCCCCAGTGACTGCTGAATGGCCATTTCCTGTCTCCGGAGTTGCATCGAATCAATTAAATCGTACACAATCACCATGGACCACATTGGGGACGGATACCAGGATTTTACATTTCCATCTTTTCCAACTAGAAGCATAGAGAAGTATTCAGGGCTCACTTGAAAATAGTTACGTATGTCTTTCACCAAATGGGCTGGTACGTCTTCTCGCTCAACCACAGAGCTCCCTATAATAGGATTAGAAAAATTGTTAGTGGATTAAAGAGTCAGCACTAAGGAAAACAAAGTGAGAAGAAATTTCTTTAGCTCAAAATCCAATTAAAGAAGTTTGCTGTGTTTTCCTACTAGAAATTAAATGTCCCTGCTGTTCTGCATCATTATTAGTGTCAAACTTTGAGGTACAATGCTTCTCCTTTATAGGAATGTTACAAAACATAAAACCAGCCCCTCAATTGAATCCTATCAAGATTAATTTCTATAAATTTGTCACTAACAAAGATTATATTGTTTATATTTCTAAGTTTATTTCCAATTAGCTTAGTTAGTTCTTTGCAATTACAGTTTTTCTTTTGATGCTGTTGTCTGTATAAAAAAATCTTATTTTATTGTCAAAGGTGAAAAACACCAATGATGTAAGAGCTGGATAAATGTATTTAAGCTAGTAAGATAACTGAAAAGAAGAAGTGCATTTAAACTCTTATGAATTGTGACACTGCAGCATTTTGCCTGGGTTTATCCACATTTTCTCATGGAAAGAGCGTGATCTTGGAAGGAAGGACTGGATGTGCCTTCTGAAACTTTAGTCACTAGTCATCTTCTTTCAGCTCCTTGGAGCCTTTCAGTATACATTTTCATCTGTTGACAGGGAATCAGTAAGATATAACCTATGGGCCTCGTAGTACCATTGTGAGAATTAAATGAGATAAAATAGATGAAAATGTTTTGTCAACATTAGAGCCCTATGCAGACAAAAATCGCTAATTAAGTAAGTGGATATTTAACTATCACTTATGAGTGATTGTATAATAAAAACAATGATAGTTTTTTCACTCCACTTCCCCCTCCTCTACACACATACTGTGTGGGCATGTGCCAGTACACACACACATATCTGTGTATGCAAAGGAGGTGGAGTGGACCTTAGAGGTATACTACTGCTTGTGAATATGTACAGTCAAACCTTTGTTTCAATGTCTCCCATTTCAAACAATTTGCTTCTCAACCTGACAACCCTTTCATGCTGATACCTGTATGATCAGTCACACATCTCTCAGGGAACAAAGGAGAGAATTTGAGAGTATGAGTCAGTTTACTGCTATTAACATCTCAGGAAATTGTACTGTAAATATTTTTGTGGGTTTTTTTTGTTTTGTTTTTTTGCTTTTGCTGCTGCTTATTATTATATTTTCATTTATTACTATACACTTCATTTCCTTTTTGTTAATTTTTCATTCACATTTCATGTACCTTTTGTTTTTAATGTGTTTATAGATTAAACAGTACATAAGATATGTATTGTATATAAGAAAGGTTAAAACAGAAATAATTTGGGGGGTCTGGAATGGATTAATTTAATTTACATTATTTCTAATGAGAAAAAAAAATGCTTTGATTTTCTAACAGTTTTCCAGAATGAATTAAGTTTGATAACTGAGGTTCCACTGTAATTCAATATAATTTAACTGAACCAGAGTCATTCACAGTTAAAAATAACAACACTATACCATTAATCGGGAACAGTTCTAAGACTCCCCCAATTTCTTCTCCAACACCTAAAAGCTTCAGAATGGTTATGTGGCGCAGACCTGAGAGAAGAAGAAAGCCATAGAGTTAGTGGAAAGGACTCTAAGTCATATTTTACTTCCAAAGACCAATGTCTGACAATTAAAACCTCTAAGTTTAAAAAGAATATAGAACATAACCTGATTAGACAGAATAATCTATTTTAAAATTATTCTATGCTAAAATACTAAATACTTCTAAAACCTTGAAGAAGACCAATTGCAGATTTTGGAACTACAACAGGGTCAGATGTTGTTTACTTTGGGGTGGTTTTTATAGGTTGTTTTGTTGTTGTTGTTGTTGTTGTTTTGCAGATTAATATAGAAGAATTTGCTCTTCAACTGTGATTCTCACTTAATTAAATGGCAAAACAAAAATAAAATGATCAGAACACTGAAATATCTAAGATGGCCTAAACTGATTAGTGTTCTGAAAAAGATCACATAAACTTACATGGAAAACTTTCAGAGAAGAGACTGAAGACCCCTCATTCACTGTGATTGTTAAAGAAATATTTGGCTTCCCTGAACAAAGTTTGTTGCTTTATGAGCAGGTTCTTATCACGTATTCAGAGAATTCAGAGGAGTAGGTTGCACTTAGACAAGCACAGTCTGCTTCCCACCCTCAGCTAAAGTTTCAGAAAGGAGAGGTCATGCCTTGGTAGCTCACTGGAATTCTTTTGAAGATGAAGCTCATGTGAAGGGATTCAGGAGAAAGAAGGAGGAGGGCAATAGGGCTGTCAATTCATCCTCTCAAGATTTCATGGCTTAGATCCCAGCCTAGGCAGGGTAATCACTTGGGACTAATAATATGAATATTGATGGTGTTTATTGTTCAGGGGAGAACATTGAACACCAACCACTATGGGAGGTCTCTTTTAAGGAGGAGCTTAAGGCAAAATGCAATGTCAAAAAATATTTTTGTGGTCTTTACTCTTTTCCCAGAGAAGTGAAGCATTCTATTCTCCATGTTGTTGAGTTGTGTTCCCAAAAGGGAAGATCGTGAATTTAATGATTCCTGAAAAACATGATTTGTTCTCATTTCCTGAATGTTGTAAACAAAAAAGTATCCTGCAGTAATGTGACTTAGGCTGTTGGCAGAGGCTAAAAACACCACCTAAGAGCTGTGCAAAGTTGTCCTTAGAAAATTAAAAAGTCATAATTTTATTTATATTCCTATTGTAAAGGGTCATTAACTGCCCTAAGAACTTCTATTTTCCAGCACCATTGGTGGCTATAAATAATTTAAAATGTGCTTAAGAAGAGTGGTACAATCAAATCATATACACGTTGAAATAGTCTTAAATTTTAACCTTGTAAATAGCAGTCTACGTATAAACTGAAATGTATTTATAATTTACAGGTACTGGTACATAGCAAGGATCCAGGTCCTATTAATGCTTTATAAAACTCACCCCTACCCTTTGATAAATCAAGTACAGTTTTACAACAAATAATTTTTCTTCCTAACAGAAGTATAAAATAATGCTGATTCATCTGTGTTCCAATAATAAATTTTCTAAACTATGGCCCCTGCTACTTCCCCAAGCCCATGAGTCTCAAAGATTCCCCTCTGCAGAGGTATATCTTAAATGAGACCTCAGTTGTGGTTTCTACTTTTGAAATTGCTGTTATCTCTGTGGCTCATCACTGAACTTGTTAGTTTTATGTCCTATGCATTTCCTTTTCTATATATGCACATTCAAAATGGTATTAGCTCTATCATTTTGGTTAAAAAAAAAAAGCATCCATTAGTTTTCAAAATACTGGGCAATTCACTACAAAAAAAAACAAAAAACAAATCTGTTTCTCTTTTACCTGCTTATCTGAAAAATAAGGTTCTGTTTAACAGATGTTGTTGTCTTCTTGGTGCCTTTTTAAAGAAATGACAATATAACCCAACCGGTGTGGCTAAGTGGTTGAGCGTCGTCAACCTATGCACCAAGAGGTTGCCAGTCCAATTTCTGGTCAGAGCACATGCCCAGGTTGTGGGCTAGATCCCCAGTGGGGGGCATGCAGGAGGCGGCCAATTGATGTTCTCTCTCATCGATGTTTCTATCTCTCTCTCCCTCTCCTTTCCTCTCTCTCTAAAATCAATACAGAAAAATAAATAAATAAATAAATAAATAAATAAATAAATAAATAAAGGAATGGCAAAATCGTCTAATGTGCTTCAATTAATACTTTAATTCCCAAAGCCTTTCCTGTTTTACAAAAGACATTTAATTTGTGGAGAAGTATCCAGTGTTGGTACCAAAGAATCACCTAAGTAAATGAGGATACCTGAGTATCATTACCTAGGTAAATGATGATATATATGACCTTGAGACATTATATGGCATGATATAGATCACTGAAAGTAAAGGCGCTGGCATTTTCAGACACTTTAATAAAGAACTTGAGAGGGGGGAATATTGAGAAAAAAAAAATAGACCCCAGATGACTAATGCTCCCGTCTGAAAGCAACTTTATACTCAGTATAATTGAGTAAGTGTCTGGGAATCTCCAGTCTGGACAGGGGAATATTTGAATGAGCTAAGCTTCTGTGTTTCATTTTAGAGTTGACCAGGAAGAGAGTGGTATGGGAAAGCAGTGATGACGAGGCTGCCCACTCACCAAAATTGCATGCCTGACCGCTGAGGGCCGAGAGCTGCTGTGAATAGGCCCAGTCTTCATCATTAGGAGCAGAGATCACCAGCAACCGCCTCCTCCATCGGAACCTGGGAAAGAAGCAAAAGGCCACAATTCCTGCTTCAAATAATAGAGGCCAGTGTGAGAAAGCAGAGCAACTTTGGCTATTGGTATTTTCCTACACCCAGAATAAAAAGCATGGACTCAGAAATGTCTCCTGAAAGCCATTCAACTGCATTTGCACACTTCTTGTACCTTTCCTGTTACCATCTGCCTACTGTGGCATTTGCATGGTACGTCGGGCATGAGTTTGGCCACCATGCCTGATGAGATCACTTAGGAAGAGACACAGCTCTCAGATGCAGTGAAGACTGGCCAACATTGTATGCCATATTGTAGCAACAGAAACAAGGAATCAGCCCGGCTGGTGTGGCTCAGTGGATTGAATGTCAGGAATCAGAAGGGAACTGGGGAAAGCCTAAGTTCTAGCAGAGTTCCCTGGGTCTTAGCGAGGGTTAAAAAATAATTAGATGGACAGGAAACAGAATAGAAAAAGAGGACTGCATTTTAAGTAGGTGACAGGAAGAAAGAAAATGGAAAAGTGGCTCAAAGGGTCAAGGAGGATTCCTAGAAAAACAAAGCTCGATTTGCCTTCCTCAATAGCTAGTGGCTTCTCCAGAGGCAAGCACACGTTCTAAAATACACCCTACACTATTAGTAAGAGCCAACACTTATAAAGCACCCCTGTGAAACACAGTGGGGCTAAACCAATAGCCATAGGCATTTAGAATATAGAGTAAATTTGTTTCTGCTATTATAGCTCCAACACAGTAGGGTCATGGAAAGAGTTTTTGTCTTGTAGCCAGGAAATGTTTCATTACTGCTGCTTCTGACATTCCTTAAGCATGTCCCTCAATTCATCGAAGTCTCAGTTTTCCCTTTATGTCTAGAATCAAAAATAGCATCTACTTCAAAGAGGTGTTATGAGAATTAAACCAAAGCTCACCAATGTTAACCATGTGGTGACATGGATATAGACCTTGCCTTTATCCACTGGCTCCTAGATGGAGAAGTTTGTCCATAAACAGGCCTTGGGTGTAGTGTATAGCATTGGTGTATGACAACTGATCTAACCCATGTTTTGTGTTATTTTGTAGCTCAATTTCACCTGCACCATCTGTGTTCCTCGTTAGAGCTCAGTGAGCACACAACATATTGTCTTTGTTCTACTGATGACAAAATGAGGCTTAGGGAAGTGAAGTAACTTGTCTAACTAGTAAAACTAAGAGGTGGTGGCAAATTAACAGAGTTCTCTGACTCCCAGGCCGTCATTTCCCTGTCTCCCACCCTCAGCAATCCTGATGCTCAGCTGGTGCTGCCAGGGTCCCTGAGAGGGTAGGAGGGAGAGAGCGTATGCAGCTGAGGGGCAGCTGGATGGAGCTGTCTCGGATTCCACCTCCACGGGAGAAGGGGTTTTGCTTTCTGCCTTCAGTGTAGGCAGCTGATTTTATTCATCGCTTCTCTCCTGGTGCCCCTTCTAGCCTCAGAGTGAACATGAGCATTTTCAACCCAAAGAAAATGGCCTCTTGGGGGAATAGTGGTTTGGGCGAATAAGAGAAAATGATAGTCTGATGAAATACAACCTCTGAATAGACGCCTGGAGCAAGGCTCGCCAAGAATTGCTTGCTGTGACATTACATTCGCTTCCTCTGCTTGTTTTTCTTCAAAGGGAAAGGAAAACGAAAATCTCCACTGAGGATAGGGAGATGAATGTATTTGGCTCGGAGGAGGAGAGAGGAGCATCTGAGACGGTCCAAGGTTTCCTGGGAAAAGGACCAGTGACTGTTGTCAGATCACAGACATGGTCTCCTGCATCTTCCCTGCTTCCTTAGGAGACAGGCCAGACCAGAGCTGCTCCCCTAGCCAGTATCCAAACCAGGCCAGCCTTCCCGGCCTCACACAGAGCGGCAGGGGATCCTGCAGGGAGCTATTTTGGGTGAGGTATATTTTGACTTGTTTACCTGTGTGCAGCCCTGATGGCTGTCCTGATTGCAGAGGGATGGGGTCTGAGACTCCCTGTCGCAGACACACCAAGAGGTCATTTCCCCTAAGGAATGGTTTTTTTCTCCCACGGCCCTTCCCATGAAGATAAAAGCCCCTAAATTGAGACACTGAGGGAAGTAATGTCCATAGGATGTAAGATGAGAGGTGCATGTGACACAGATCCTTATTCTGGACAACTTGTTTTTCTGCTACTTTAGCTTCTCGGTAAATAAAAATTCTACGAGCTATGGATATATTTGCTTCTCTTAACTGGCATTCCAAAATTAGTGTGCCTTTGCCCACTCTTTGGGGCTTCTGTGTCAGAGAAAGGTAATTATAGCCTGAACCAGATGAATGTCGCTAAAGGCTAGACTGACTTCAGAGTCTGGTCAGCTGAAACCAGGCTTTACAGACCCAACGACTCAGCAACTTTGAAGGAAAATTCCCATTTGGATACTGGTTTATTTATATAACTTTTATTTTTAAAAAAAAATTTTTTTTTTTTTCCGTTCTCTTTGCCTAGGTTTTAATGCTAAGGTATTTACTAAATCTCCTTTTCTCACTTCTGCCTTGATGACAAAAACCTCTAACTAACTGGCCCTTGTACTACTAATAGCTTGCATTTATTGATTGTTCATTTTATGCTAGATCTTGGGTCATCAATATTTTTAATACTAAGTTTACCTTTTTACAACAATCTTAAGACTAGATACACTTATTATTCCCCTTTTGCAAATGAGAAAACTAAAGCCCAAGAGGTTAATCAGTGGTTCTCAACCTTCCTAGTGCCGCAACCCTTTAATATAGTTCCTCATGTTGTGGTGACCCCCAACCACAAAATTTTTTTTGTTGCTACTTCATAACTGTAATTTTGCTATTGTTATGTCTTAGGTGACCCCTGTGAAAGGGTCGTTTGACCCCCAAAGGGGTCGCTACCCACAGGTTGAGAACCGCTGGTTAAGTAATCAGCCCCAAATCACATAGCTAACAAGTAGAGAAACCAGGAATTAAACTCTGGGCTGTCTTACTCAAGACTTTAAATAATATACTATTGAACTTTAATTTTTAAGACCACTGATAACTATCAGTACAGTGATTTCATGAACTGTGACCATAGTTATGTATAGCCACAGAACATTCAAATTATAATCATATACCATTCTGAATATCCATAAGAGATTATGTTCCTGAAATAGTAATATACATTATAAGGACTATATAGTTATATATTCTAGGGCCCTATCTAGTTCAAAAGACTTTAGATGCAAAGTGTGTGTATAAGTCTTAAGAATCAAAAATATAACAAATTCAAATTAGTGATCAATGTGAATGAGCATAGCAAGTTTGTGCATGAATAAAATTGAGATAATGTCAGATTTTCTTTTCAGGTTTAAAACCCATGACACAGTGATTATAAAAAGACAGTCTGCCTGGGGGTGGTAAGAAGAATCCCTCATGATGTCTGAGGCTGAGGGTGTCACGGCTGGCCCAAATTCTTAGCTATAAATAGCATCAATGAACTGGGTGGTAACTGCCTGTTATAGAGGTTGGACAACCTGAATTTACTGGGATGGTTCAGAAGGTATGCATCTTTTAGTCCTGAAAGACTTAGAATTAAAAAGTGAATGTTTTCAAAGAGTCAAAATCATAGTAATAATATGTATTTTTAAGAAGATCTTGGTTTTCTTTATATAATTTATGTCCTTGTAAAACTTAAGAAAATTTGGCCTAATAAAATGACATCCTTAAAACTCCAAATTAGAATATATACTTGAGTAATAGGTGTAAATATACGGTTTTAAGTTGAAATCTCACTAAGTGTATACAGTTACTGGAACATAAAAGAGAACTTTAGATTCACTGTGTCTACAAGATTAACTTATTAAACTTATGGATCATTTAAGTACACAGAAATTCTTTATTTACTTCAAGCAATTACAAGAAATATATTGAATGTAAAATGCCCACTGGAAATAATGAAGGTGTTTAATGTCTAAGTTTGTAAGCAAGATCAAACATTAAAGCCCCTTAAAACTGATAGCTAAGATTTCCTAAGTTATAAATAGAATAAAAAGATTTAAAAGTCTAACTTAAACTTTTAAGGGAGAACTAAGATCAAAAGTAAACTTCTAAAGAATCTTTTCTGCCAGGAAGGAAGGATAGAAGGGAGGGAGGAAAGAAAAGAAAAGGAAAAGAAACTTTTAAAAAACTCCTCAAGGACAACAAGCTCTTTTTATTGATCTTCTAAGTCATGGCCATCTAGAGGGATGACCTTGGGTCAGAGGTTGATGTGTCAGTGGCCCCAGGACTGCCCAGTGGAGCCCTGGAACCCTTATTAGCCAAGAGAGTGGCATGAAGGCCGAGCTGAGCATCAGATCCGTGTGGAGCCATCCACTGTCCACCTCCATTCCAGCTGCTTGCTCTGCACTGAACATGGGGTGAAGGAAGAACCTCAGATTCCTTTTAGCTCTGAAAGCCTGTGGTTTTAGGATTCTCTTCCTTCACTTCAAACTCTGGGCCTCTGGGTCCAACACGAAAAATAATTCACTTTATATTTTCAAAAAGAGTATTAGATAAGAATGTGGACTTTGGGAGCCAGATTATCCTGGGGTCACTGAGCCCTAGAGCTGACACTAGCCCAGGGATAAGAGAAAGTTAGTTACTAAGTCTCCATTAGCCTCGGTTGTCTCATCTGCACATAACATGCAAATACTGTTACAGTGTTTAGATCATGGGATCTTTGTGAAGACTAAACCCAGAAAAGATGAAGTGCCTGATAGAGAGGTGATCATACAGAAAGCGATCACAGCAGCACTGGGATGGAGGTAAGGCTACTTATTGTCTTTATTCTCATTTGTTGGCGAAAGATTTTTAAAGCAGTTTAATTAAATAAAGAAAAATAGGGGCAGCACATCTAGTAAACTGCAGGTCCAAAACTTAGATGAATAAGTCCTATGTTCTTTACACATTATCTCCAAGAGGCCCAAGCCTCCTGACTCTAGAGGAATTCAGATTATCCACTTACTCATGGTAGAATTCTCGATTCTCTGACTCATTTGCGGAGAATGTGCTTTACAGGCACAAGTAAGGAAGTTCTGCCTAGAGTGATACACAGTTAATCCTGAGCCTCCAAACAAAGGCTTGCTTCATTTTAGGAGCCCCTCTGCCACACAATATAGTTTGGGTGACGTTATACCCTGAGGTCTCTGAGTTTATTTGTTGTGAGTGGAATTAGCAGCTTTGCACTGCCTAGGACCCCAAAGGCCCTGTAGAATTTTTATCCAACATGGGGGAAGGGATGAAGAAGGGAGGACGTGAAGAGATTTTATTTTTACACTCTTTTCTGTGCATGTGTACAGAAAAGAGTTTCCCTACAATGGTTTGCAATAAACCACACTCCCTGGGGAACCCGAGCATTGCTCCCTTTGAGGCCCTGGTTGGGCTTTTGCTGTTCTCTGCAGAGTTGGAAGGAAGCTGAAAAGCAAGCACAGTGTTTCAAATCCTGTTTGAAACTAGAAGGGGCCCAATAAATAAATACCTAAAATAAAAATACTGTCTACAAAGCCCTCCAAATTCACTGACTGAATAAGTTACCCTCACAGGTCAGAATTCTATATTCTGTGCCAAAAAGAGAAGCAGAAAAGATTCATCCAAAGCTGTTAAGTTAACATTCAAGTTTGGAGCTGACCCCAGCCAGCCTTGTAACCAGACCTACTTCCATCAGGGCACAGACTAAGCCCAGTGGCCAGAGGGCTGGGAAGCAGACAGACCTTTCACCAGGGAAGGTCACTCTTTGCACACATTTGCTCTGTGCTTCCTGGGCCTGTTCATTAGCTCACCAAGAACACATCCCTGCCTGCCTCCTCAGAGATTCCAAAGGTGATGTACCTGGATAGGAAGTTCTCCAGTGACTGCTTCTTGTCTTCCTTGCAAACAATGCCCTCCTTCTTCTGTTTTTCCATGTCCTTGATTCGGGACTGGAAAGTATCGATCAAATCAAACACAGACTTCATTGCTATAGGCACCTCATAGTATTGCTGTTTAAGAAAGAATAGGAAGCATATAATGTATAAGGGTTTTCTTCCCTCTGATCAGAGGATAGATAGTCCAGGAGAATTCAAGGGAGATCCGAGAAAGTAAAAGCCTGAAGGGCTTAGTGATTTATAAACTCTCTCCTGTAACAGATCCCCTGGTGATGGTTTGAACTTCAGAATCCATGAAACAACAGCCACTTACCTTTTATGAGGATTGCTCTAAACTGCACTCCTTTTGTTGGAAAGGGTCCATGCCTTCCTCACCACACGTACCCTAGGTTCACTTCCCTACTTCTGGGACTAAGCTGGTTCCTGTTCACTACACAACCGGAAAGTGAGAGATGCTGTAGCTAACACAGGAATGGACTAACATGTTAGAATATCTTAGCTGAGCAAGGAGGGTAATTTTTCACCAGAAGGGGGCCTGTTCCTCAGCCATTAGGAATCTACATAAACTTTTTGTGATTCCCAGAGATTATTTTATTGAGTGACCATCACTTAAAGTTAGATCATGTTTCCTCATGTAGTCTCAGAAAAGAGCTGGGATCCAATTTGAGGATAATGAAATGCAGTTTCCCGGATCATACTTGTCTGGACTTACAACAGCAACCTGAGATGGATTTGGGCCAAGGCTGGCTGAGCATAACAAGCAAAAGTGAAGGAGAAGTCTGGACATGGCTTGGAGCTATATAGGCCCCCAGTGGGAAAATCTGTAAACCAGTGGATGTGAAAGCTGGCAGAAATTGTAGAGATTATCTAAGGTTAGAGGTGGGGCAGCACACTGGAGGTCGGCAGCACAAATACAGAATGAATTAACGAAGGGACCTATTTCCAGTCTATTTGGATAGGCAGTCTTTTTCCTGATGATTTTCACATGAGCATGGTATGCTCTCAGTACACTAGAATGGTTAAGACCGTGGACTCTGGGGCCAGTGTGTGTGGATGTGAAGTCCAATGTTAACCAGGTGACTTGGGCAAGGTACTTAGCTACTCTGAAACTCTCTGTGAAACAAAAATAATTCTTGTGGTCTATCTTAGATGTTTGAGATAAGGATTATAAAAAGTTAAGATGAGTGTCTGGCATAAGGAAAGTACTAAACAAAGTAGCTATCTTTGTTATTATTTTTAAAAATTATTTTTCATAGTTCAGAACCTTTGTCCCAAAGCGTATAAATAAAGTAGGTATAAAACCCTACTGGCTTGTCCGTATTCAATCAGGAGTTAAACTTCTAAGCCCTTCCAAAGTAGGCCTATGTCAAATCTGGTTTTCCTGCAGGCAGAGGCCAAATACTCTTTACCTTTTATCCCCAGGACCTGGCACATCGTGGCTATTCAATAAGTGGCTAATGAATGCAAGACATTGATGTTACAGAAGTCTGAGTCAAATAGCTGGGGCATAGGAGGCCATCCAACCCAGTCTTTTCCAGAGACCACATTTCTGGACACAAATGCTATAGACCAATGTGGAATATTTGGACCATTTCTAAACCTTTCCATTTATAAAATAATTTGTGTTTACTCATATGTCTAATAGACTCGTTGACAAAAATTTCAGAGTTGTTTTTCTAAGGAATGACACCACGTTATCCAAAACAGGAACCCGTACCTTGACTCTCAGGTCCACATCTGTTAGCACCATGAAGAAGTCATCATAGGTCATTCCATACTCTCTCCTCAGCTCGCTGATGAGATGTTGGTCTACCAAGTCCTCATCATCCACCACTTGCATGGGTTTCTCATTATCTTAAGGCAAATGAAATGTGAATAAATATGGGCGTGACAAGATAGACGTCAGTAGGAACGAATGAGTAGAGAATCTGGGTCTCCCTCCAGGGTTAATTAGAACATCTTTCATTAGTTGCACATATTTGGCTAAAATTTGGTTTAAACAAAATTGTACAAGGTGAATAAATACAGAAAAGAATGAATAAATAAACTAATTTTGAAAGTCACTCTTCTAAAGATGAGCAAGCCCCATCTCTGCCCACCCTGGTTGTAGAAATGCACTGGAGCAAAATCAGAGCGAAGACTGCCAAGTCATCCCAGCAAGACTGCCACCTCCCCCGAGAGTGAGTCATCACCCTAACTCAGCGGGAAACTAGACCAAGTACTTTTAAGTTTTACTTAATTTTAAAATTGATTTTAGTTTTAGTTATATATTTAGTTAAGTCTAAAATCTGTGTCTGTTCCTCCCTTTTATTACAGAATAGCTTTGGGACTCAGTGAACCATGTCATTCCTATAGAGAGAAATGAAAAGTCTAGGTTCAAACCTGGTATGTGGTTCATTTTGGCTCCAGAGAAAAATCAAGCTATTCATAATAAACATTTTGTTAGTGAATACAATTTTAAGCAGTGCTACTGAATTTATGAGAGTTTTAACCATTGTGTATTTTTTCAAACATCAAGCCTTAAAAATAAATTATCACAATTCAGAATGGTTCCTGAAGGTGCCCTGGGTTAATGGGAAGTGTGAACATAGTGACTCCTGTGTCTGGGAAGCATTTTGGAAATGATAGGACAGCTTTATTTACTTCTTCTCTCCCATACAAGTCACTGTTTCCTTCAACTCTATTAGCATTTTTATCTGCAAAAGAATTCCCTGTATTTTTTTTTTAATGTGAATAATTAGAGTTAGCAACAACAAAAAATGTGGGATACATCTGTAATACTTTCAACAATAATGATAAATTAAAGAAATAAATGAATAAAATTAGCAAATATATAATTAATAGATACCTTAGTGAAGATAACCCATCAGTTATAATACAACATTGTTATCCAATGAATTTTACTGCAGTAGAAATAACCACAATTTTGCAGATATTGAGGTTATATAGCTTGAATATGACTGACTACTACTCTTGTATTGATTTTTTTTAAAGAGACCATTACAATTTAACTATTACTTTGGTTTATTTATTAGGTTTGTTGAAAGTATATAAACAAGAAACTTGATTTCTCCCAAGTAGATCAAAATGAGAGGAGAAAGAATCTGTTTTCCTTCCCAAAATCATAACAGTTCTTCATGGAGGTGATCCAAAGGCATGGGAGCTAAGAGCCTACATAAGTTCCAAGCACTGTCTGCAAAGTACCTCATACATATAAACTATTTTTAAATGTACATATTTGCTCTCATTCATAAAAATATAAATTATTTAAAAGAATTGCTAGAGTCTTGTTGTTACTTTTGTTTCTCATATTTCACTGAGTAAAAAAAAACCTAGTTGCAGAATAAAATGCGTTGTATGACTTTATTCTTCATTTAAAGGAAACAAGACAAAAGACCATACACCCACATGTACATATACACAGGAAAAGGTACATATGCATCAGGACACATAGCTATTAACAATGGTTGTGAGGAGAAGCAGAATTTGTCACACCAAAATGTGCCTTTTTGGGGATATTGATTATTTTAAACTGGTTATTTTTAAGAAATGATATTCAGGAAGAACCTTTTATATTCTGCCAAACTGCCTTAAGAATTTAGATAGAGAACCTGCTCCGGGGAGGGAGCTGTCGTCATAGATTAAACTATAGTTTAATATGAACTAGGTATGATAGAAACGAAAGAACCTTGTTAGGCCTGTTTGATCAAAGTCTTCTCTCTGTCCTGTTGTTCAAGGTGGCCCAACAAACATTTGTTGATCAACCATTTACTTTACCATCTTCATGTTAATTGCCTTTCTGCACTTTGAAGTCTCAAATCACACCTGCTCAGTTTGTCCCTGGGTCCGCTATTCATGTGGAACCCTTGTATGTACATAAGAAATAAATTTGGCCATTTTCTCCTGTTAATCTCAAGTTACTTTGATTATCAGCACTTCCAGAAGAGCTTACAAGGATAGAAAGAAAGTTATTTTTCTGCTCCTACAGTTGCCTCTGGAGAGTGGGGAGTGGTGAGGTGGAAGCTTTCATTGTTTACTCTATGCATGTCTATATTTTTTAATTTTACTTTATGATTAGTAATAATTAATAAGAAGGAAAAAATCATTTAAAAAATCATTTAAAAATGGATTTTAAAAATGTCCTTAACAATTAATGTTCTGATTCTAAGATTTTACAAACCAGATTTTATCTTGAACCTAGGAATTACTGCTTTTAATTCCCAACATACATTCATTTTTGCTTTTGTTCATTAAACAAAATATTTGTCTCCAGTGTCCCGAGCTGATTCTGTTTTGGGTGCTGGATTCAGAGATAAGTATGCTTAGACGGAGCTCAAGTTCCTAGTTAAAATCAAAATTAGACTATTAGCATCTACCTACCAGACAAAATCACACACACACACACAAAACATTGAATGGCTGAGATAGAAGGAAGTTGGAGATTATAGCAGATTTAAAAAATGGTCCTAATTCTCCACCCCTCCCTGTACTTAACACTCTGCCCAATAACTGCACAGCTCCCTATTACGGGAAATGGGTTGAGCTGTCTTGTCTTCAGATTCTGAGCTCATCTCTCTGAATTGCTTTGTTAACATAAGTAACACAAATAGAGGCTAGAAATAGGCTTGCACATTTGGGATTGCTCTTGCTTCTGCTGTTGCCATGACTACACACCCACACTAGACTTCCAGAGACTAAGTCAAGTCAAGTTATCCTGGTCCCATCTCAACCTGGGCTATCCCAGATCAGCAGACACCCAGTGGACACCTGTCCTGTGTGCAAGTCCAACCAACATCAGCAGAACCATCTGACCAACATGTAGCTGACTGAAACTACATGAGCAGCCTAGCCAAGTCAAGCCCAGAGAAGTTGAACCCAACAGACTTGTGGCTAAATGAATATTTAATGTAATATGCCACTGAAGTGTGTGGCTCTTTATTACATAGCCTTATTGTGGCACTAGATAATTGATACCGACATTATCAGGCCCAATCCAGTCACATTAGTGAGGCTGAAACTAAGAAATAGTGTGTAGTGCCCACTGCGGTGTGCAGTCCAGACCCTACTTTCAGACTAAGGCTGCTGTGAACGTTAAGGGCCCAATCTAAAAATTGTTCTCCTTCCAAAAGAGCTGCCTTGCTCCAAGTTACACCTTTACTAGGGGACAGGCCCATGTTCAATGGTTAATGCAGTGTGAGTGTGTGTGTGTGTGTGTGTGTGTGTGTGCACGCACGCAGGGCCTGGTGGTGGATGTAAAAGCTGTTCTCCTTGCCTCAAAGTGAACAACTTTGAGGGGTCAACTGCACTGCAATTCAAATTCTCCCTTTGTCATCTAGTATCCCTCATCTCTCATTGGTATTATTCCTAGGGTTATTCCTCATTAACTTCCTAAATGCAAATCTGAAAGCCTCAAGAGTCTGTTTCCCAGGATACCAGCCTCTCACAGATCCCAGGAAAGGAGCAACTTGCTCAAGTTCACATTGCTAGTTAGTAACAGAGTGAGGGTTAAGATTCAAATAAAATGATCTCATTCCTTCCCAGTGCTCTTTCCATCTTACCAAAATATGTCACACTCAAAGAGAGAGAGGACCCAGGACCAAGATGTAAGGCAAAGTTTGTCCTATAGGATATGGCAAGAAACTAATTTCCAAAGGTTTCTCCTTTAAACTAAAATATTTTCTGAAGCATTTTGACCGAACATTAGAAATAAAACGTAGAATTCTGGCTGAGTTCTGTGGGAGGTCCGTGTGAGGCTGGCTCCTGTCTCCAGCTGCCTGCTCCTAGAGGTCTGTGCGATGCTCTGCATTCTGCCTAAATCAGGGCTGGACGGCAAGAGGCTCTCTGGGAAAGCAGCATAAATTTGACAGTTTCTTGTTTTGCCAAAGCTCTGTAGTCCTCGTCAAGTGTTGCACGGCTTAGAAGCAAACATTCTTCAGGGAACATCCTATAAACTGTCCATCTGGTTCTGATCCAGCAGAAATGACTCACAGATTCCAGCCCATTTGGTGGAATTTGGTCATTCTACATAGGCTTTCCCATACCTAAGATTACTAGGAGGGATAGCAGGGAGCATGAACTCTGCTGGGTGCTGGTAAGAATTGGCTCTACATGTGGGACATCTGTTTCGTTTTCCACCTTTTAAGAATTCCAACTCAAAGTCCATGGTCAAATTCAGGTAGTAGTAAATTTCTTCCTGTATTTGCTTTTCTACATCTACTTCTGTATTTGCTCTTCTACATCTAGCCATGACACTGCAGAAAACAGCTTCGGTTACAATTTGTTAAACACCGATGTTTGAAGTTTTCATCTGTGACTGCTTCTCCTCTGTAATATCCCTGGCTTCTCTTCCCACCCTGTCATCCCTAAGCCCAGGCAATGCCACCAACGTCCCTGGACCGCTTTGGTTTCTCCCAGTGCTTTGGAAGTTCTCTATCTCCTTTACCACCTTTTTAAAAGTATGACTCACTGTCTACCTTCATCACAATCACCTTGAGTTCATATTAAAACTACAATCCTTGGATCCAGATCACTTGGATCATAACCTCTAGTAGGGAAACTCAGGAAACTGCATTTTAACAAGTTTACTGGGTGAGTATTATACACCATAGTGGCAGAGATAAAATGTGTACCCTTGGCATTGCATACAGGCCGTTTATATCCTGGGCTCAGCCTGTCTTAATTAGCTGTCTCTCAACTCTTCTTCCATACATTTTGCACCAGCTTTCTATTTTCAGTATCTAGAAACATGTCTTCCCTTTCTGGCATGCGAACCCTGCCCTTGTTCACATGGGAGCTCCTGGTTACCTGTACTTCACCTGTGCACTCATAACGTTTTTACATTCTTCTGTAATAAT